TGCAGCTTTGCCATTGCAGCTTTGCCATTGCTTTTAGCCATTGCTTTGCTTTGCTTTGACTCTGCTTTTGAGACTGATGTGCTTCTGCAATAAATGACTTTACAGCAACTATTAGCTGCTTTGCTTTTTGCACAAAGGAGAATAAGCCTGGCAGTGTGGGTGCCCAAGAAGCACCCGGAGGTTCCCTGAAACCTCACATTTGGTGCCCCGTGTTTAGTGCCGTGCTTTAGCTTGCTTTGCAAAGGATTTTAGCTACTGTCAGGCCTCCTCAAGGGCCTTATTTTAGTGTAGTAAAGAGATGACTAGATACCCCACCAATTGCTGAAGGAACAAGCACCCATAAGAAGTGGACGACTGAGGCTGAAGCCAAAACTTCTCATCACCTATCTTATATCATACAAGGCAACCTTTACCATCGCCCTGGGTTTCAAAGCTACTGGCTCAACCATGAAGGAAACAGGGTATAAATTAGAAGAGGTTACAATTTTCTTGAGAGAAACTGGGAAAATCCCTGAGACCATAAGGACATAAAGAAGACTGAACATCCTTCTCTTTTAAACTTTTTGATAATTTCATGTCACCAGAAGGACTGGCTCTCAGCACTGAAAAAAACAGTATTCTGCTAAGTTTCCTGACCTTAGTGATGTCTATGTAATCTCTGAGTCCTTCATTCATGCACCTGCACCAGTATCTCCACACACTGAGAGCACAGGGATAGCCTTGGTGGTGTTGGGGCTTGCAGTGCTGATACGCAAATCACCATCAGAATTAAATTGTTGAGCTTAGATGAATATGCTAGAAAACAAATAAAGAAAGGGGATAAAAATACCTTGGCCTAGTGACACATTGACATTGCTGAGTCGGAGGAACTTACGTGATTTTCACAAAATACAAAGAATTTAAGAAAGATTATTTTCCCTGATGATTTCTCATGAGTTTATGTGCTGAAAACTCCAAGAAACCAACAGGAAGTTACTCCAGTGTTGCTGAAAAGTTAAAAATGTATTGCCACATAGAGCCAGTAATAGAGAGGGAGCAACACAGATTCTTTTGCCTTGCTGTAGAAACCATGGGAGGATGGCAAAGGCAAAAGTTTTTCTTTTTAATTGACTCTGGCACCAGAGAAAAACTCTCTATTCCTCTACTGTCTGACATTGTGCTGCCAGTGCATCTCTCCACCACAAGTGTCTGTGCAAGCTGAACACTCAATGCTGGTCAAGTAGCATTTTCCACCTATACACACTTTCCTTCTTCTCCCTATTAGGCACAACAAAACAGGACCCTGTTGCTTCAGTGGACCAAAGGCAGGTGCATCGTGATGAACACCATGAGTTAAATGAAAACAGGTAGTGTGCATTTCATAAACTGAGAGCTTCAGCCCTATAGGAAGCAACTAAAAGCAGAGGGTTGATGGAGATTTTTTTTAATGGATGTTAATATCCTTTTTGAAAGAGTAATGCATTTGTACGATACTACTATAATTTTGTTGTATCTACTACACTTTAAAATCTACTTTTTATAGGGCTGAAACTAATGGGATTTTGTAGCCCAATGAATTTAGAAGTGAGGTTGCTCTGAACGTTCATGCATCATGATCCCCACAGTGACCATCTCAGTGTGGCAAGAAAAGGGGAAAGGTGGTACATTCAAGGTCAACAGGAGGGAAATGCTGGATTTTTCCTTCTAACCTCTGATTTTTTGGCCATTGACTGTTACTGCAGCCACAGAGGTATAATGCTACACACTGAGAAAATGTAATTTTAGGAAGAAATTGCGGATTTTGCTGTTAATATAGTATATAAAAGGCAAAGGAACTGCATAAACTCAGCTGAAGGTCCCACCACAAGAAAAGCAAGCTGGAAAGCAAAACATTTGAGTCCTACACCTGCTAACAAATGCAAGCACATTTTCTAATCCTCTGAGCTCTGGACTCTTCTGTAACAGGAGTCCTCAGTCTATGGTGTGCACAGCTCAGGGTCTCCTCCTGAAGACTCCAAGAAAGATTGCTGGAAAAAAGCTACACGGAGGGCACGAGATGAATGCACATTGCTGTGCAAGTCTGTCAAGAGACAGAAGTCTCACGAATTGAAGGGACCCGCCTCTTCTTCTGCACACTACAACTAGTCAGTGGACAAAAACAGGACTTCCTTCCATCTGAAAGGTAGGCTGCAAGGATTTTTTCTAAGCTAAGCTGTGTCTAAAACCTTTGGTCATGGCAAATGTTCCTCCTCTATCTGTGTGCAGCCTGGCGTGGATGTGTAGTGAGATCAGAAAGTGATGACTGCTGCAAGCAACATGCGGCTCTAATGCTTGCAGAAAAGGAGTCTTAGCCAAACAAAATAAAACTGAAATAAAATTACACTTTTGTGATGTCAAGCATGTATCAGCTACCATCCATAGGGGTGTTCTATCACCAAAAGGCTGGAATAAGAATTATCCTGCTTTCAACTCCTCTGGGAAATATAGCATCCTTGCCTTTTTTACTGGTTTCAAAGAAAATAGTTTATCCCTTTCATTCTTGGACAGTTGGGAAGAGTCCTGGAAAGACTGGGGTCTTGGTTCATTACCACGCCAGCTCATGGGCTCTGTTTAAAGATAAGGGTATTCCCATCCCACCTTCATCACGGACTTCAGCAGCTGGATACCAAACCACAAAGCTCTTTGCCCAGCATTGCCTGTAAGGAGCCAGATGATGCTCCAAGCATTTGAAATTATGTCTGAACACCTCGTGGAGTACTTGGTGTACTGTTGATGTATCACCAGGACATACTAACAAAATTACACCCTTACTGAATGTACACAGGAGTTCTTCAGACCTGTCAGACAGAATTTGGAAAAGCATTAAGCTGCCAGGAACCTGTGTGCTGTAGCCAGAAGAGCCATGCAATCACTGGTTCACTGTTTTATAGTCACATCAGTACTAGATGGTTCCAGATCAAGTCTCACGAGACTGAATTTTTATGTGTGTAATTGAGAGGCTGCCTGTGCAAACTCAGTGCCTGTGCAGCTCAGTGCCACTGTACATGAGTAACTGATAAAGGAGGAGATCTTGCACCTAAATCTGAGTCCTGCTCCTTCACCCTTAAAATGCTTTTAGTATCCCTCTTCCTGGGTCTTCCTGGAGGGTTTATTTTCTAACCACACTTCAGGGGATGCGAGCTAGCCACGTGAACACACAGCATTTGAGCTTCATTGCCTTCAGTAAGACAGATTCCTTTTGAAAAGTTATCTCTGTTTTTGGTTCAGCTGATGCCATATTCATGGCAGAAACCCTGCAAAATCACACAACACTGCCATCTGTGCAGGCACAAGCCCTCTTGCCAAACTTCTGTCACTGAGATGATACAGGAAGAAAACAGTTATATTTTCTTGCTAAAACATGCACACACCCTACATCCATGCAGACAACTGTGCCATTATCTGGATGGCTGGTGGGTGCTCCATGCCAGGCCATTTAAGTTGAAGTGCACATGGTAAATGTCTAGACACCTAATGCTCTGCTCCATGCTGATGCCAGGAGTTGCATTGTGCATGTGTTTGGTGAGGGAAGGAGAGTTGCCAGATGAGCTAATAAGGTGCCATCAAAACTAGTTAGATCTCAGCTCTGATGTTTCTTTATCTCTGCAGGCTTCCTCTAGAGCAAAGGCAGTTCCTCATGCAGAGCCTGTTGCTGTTCATAATGCAAATCAGCAGTCACCTTCTCAGGGGCACTACATCAGAAAAAACAGCATCTGTATTCATTCTCCCTCTGTGGAGGCAAATATACTAATCTTCCCCCAACAACTACTCTAAATAAGAAGATGAAGATATCTGCAGTATCTGTAAGTTCCTACAATCCACAGATTCTGCTCATCTTTAACTGTCTTTACTAATTTTTGTGCTAGCACATGCAGCAAAGACACTGACACATACCACAGGTTCCTGGCAGATCCCACAGCTGTTCAGAAAGAACAAGGATTTTAGATGCTATTTAGAGGCCACCCAGCTCTCATTGACTGAGCCAGGACACACTTCCTGCTGGCCTGCAAGCATCAGGAGCCTGATGCAGCACCACTGTGGTCTGACCAATTTCTGGTGTGCTGAGTAGTTTCATAACCACTCTTTACAACTGGCTAAACAGACCTGTCTCTAGAAGGGCCTCCAAACCCATAGGACTGAAGAACATAGATGCTGTGGAGAGGTGACCCCCACAGCAGATGGCATTGCAGAGGAGGATACAGCTTAGCTCTCTTTTTGTAGCATGGGCAGTGTTTGCTCAATCATTTCCTCATGCAACCCTTTGCACATGAGAACTTCTGACCACCCTGAGCCTTCAGGGACGTTTCTGAGCGTCCCTCACCCAGGTCCAGACATACAGAATTCTCCTTCCAACAGCAGATCAATGGCATCATCTTGTATGACAGAATTAATGGTTCCATGGCTAGTGCATCCTATCTCCTCAGTGCTCAATGCTTCTGCCTGCCTTTCCCTAGGTACACATTTGAAGCATATTTTTTGTCCAGACCCCTTTCATTTACTATTTTGCATGGTGTGGTGGTTTAAAAACAGCTGGAAAATAAACTCCAAATAAGCTGTTCCTGTTCCCACCACTCCTATTCCAGTGAGAGAGGGACAAAGGCAGATACAGGTTGAGATAACAATTTACTGAAAACAAACAGCAACAAAATAAGAAACACAGAAAACAGTACAATACTAATAGCAAAAGTATGCCAAAAAGAAGGTGCTTTATATACAAAAGGTGTTTGCCACCTCAACTCAATATGCTTGGCTGCTGAGACAAAGATAATATGGCAGATGCTCTCCCCAGATGGTGTTCTCAGTCCCCGAGCACAGGACAGTGGAAAAGAAAGATGGACAAATCTCCCAAAAGCTGGAATAGTCTGTGTTGTGTTGCCTGATTTCGACTGCTGGACTTGGCTGGGCTCGGCTGTGCTTAGTATCTCCAGTTTGTCTCGGGTCTTCTCCACTGGGCTAGGCTCAGCTGGGCTCAGGCTCAGGCTCACCTCCATCCCCCATGGCTCTTCCTGCACTCGCCATGGTGCTCTGCTTGGCTCGGCTGTGCTTGCTGCTTGGAGCTGTATTCTTCCTGAGGGACAGGAGGGGACAGGCAGTGGCAGGAGAGACAAAGTCTGCAGCGCTGGTCCTGGAAACTTCCCTGAGGAAGAAAGGGAACAAAACAGTGCTGCTCCTTCGGTCCATTTGCTTTTTCTCCCACCAAAGCCACAGCTCAGTGATGATGGGGATGGTACAGAATAGAGCCCAGCCGTGCCTACATGGCCACAGCTCCTTCCCTTCTCAGCCCCCACAAGCAAAACTAGGAGACATAGCAACAACGTAACTAAAAGTTATTGCTGGTACATTAGGAGTTTTGAGGTGAATAATCATAGAATCATAGAAATGTTTGGGTTGGAAGGGACCTTAAAGATCATCTCATTCCAACTCTCCGCCATGAACAGGGGCATCTTCCCCTGGACCAGGTTGTTCAAAGCTCCATCCAACCTGGCCTTGGACACTTCCAGAGATGGGGCATCCACGGCTTCTATGTGCAACCTGTGCCAGTGTCCCACCACCCTCACAGCCAAGGATTTCTTCCTAATATCTAAACTAAAGCCACCTAGTTTTGGTTTAAAGGCATTCCCCCTTATCACACCATGCCCTTGTAAAAAGCTCCTCTCCAGCTCTCTATGAGAATCCCTTTAGGTACTGGAAGATACCTATAAAATCTCCCCAGAGATTTCTCCTCTCCAAGCTGGACAGCCTCAGCCGTCTCATCCTGTCCTTGTAGAAAGGTGCTCCAGCCCTCTGATCATTGTTACAGCTCTTCTCTGGACTTGCTCCATCAGACCCACATCTTTCTTATGTTGGGGACCCCAGAGCTGGATGCAGTGTTCCAGGTGGGGTCTCATCAGAGCAGAGCAGAGCAGAGCAGAGCTGAGGGACAGAATCCCCTGCTGCCCCTGCTGCCCACACTGCTTTGGATGCAGCCCAGGACACGTTTGGCTTTCTGGGCTGGGAGTGCCCATGGCTGGGTCATGTGCAGCCTCTCACCCACCAGCACCCCTAGGACTGCTCTCAATCCATTCTCTGCCCAGCCTGTGTTTGGCTTTGGGATCGCCCCAGGTCAGGTACAGCACCTTGCACTTGGCCTTGTTTAACTTCATGCATCAGACAACCTCTCAGGTATCCCTTCCCTCCAGTGTCAACTGCACTGCACGGCTCATTGTTGTCAGCAAACTTGCTGAGGGCTCTCTCAATCCCAGTGTCCACGTCACTGACAAAAATGTTAAACTGCATTGGTGGAGACACCTGTCCCTGAGGAACTCCATTCACATCATGCTATATGCACGATTTTGTCTTAAAGCTCCTCCAGGTGTCATTTCCTCACAGTTTTTAGAGAAGTGGCAAATAAGCATCTCATATGCTGCCAGTCTTGCATGTGCATTCTCTTCCCGTAGGAATTTGGACCTTGGAACAAAGTGTCCATGCAAAAATTGCCACATGTTCTTATAAATAGCCACCTTACTTAGCCATCTTTT